TGGCGGGGACAGCTCCTCCGTCCAAGATGGGCTTCGGAATGTGCTCTTGATCAAGGCATCATGGAGTGCCTTTGCGGCGATTTTGGCCGATGGATCTGTGGTAACCTGGGGAAATCCACTCACCGGTGGTGATAGCTCCAAGGTCCAAGATCAGCTCAGGAGGGTTCAGCAGCTCCAGGCCACAGATAGTGCATTTGCTGCGATCCTGGCAGATGGATCGGTGCTTACTTGGGGGAGTCAGGAGGCTGGTGGTGAGAGCTGGGAAATCCAGGATCAGATCAAAGCGCTGTAAGTTTCACAGGTGCAATGCTCACCTGGTTGGTGGTTTGGAACATTTTTTTTTCCATATCTTGGGAATAACCATCCCAACTGACGAACTCATATTTTTCAAGATGGTTATTGCACCACCAACCAGTCTTCCATGGTGACAAGAACCCCACGGACTTGACGGCGGGTTTCCCAATCGCCTGGGATCATGAGCCGAACCCAGACATCCCAGACCGGCCCCCCCGGTCCTGGACCTTATGAAAAAGATCACCATGGTTGATGGCAATATTCCCAACGCTACATGTTGATATGATGTTGCATGAATGTCTGTATGCGGATATTGAATAGACTCAGTACATATATATATATATAATTATATATATATATGTATATGTATATGTATATATATATAGATGAATTATAGATGTTTACTCAAGAACTCAGTTCATAATCTATCCCAAAGTGACACGGTAATATCACCATCGGGACCGTTCCCAATGTTCATATGTTTGGTTGTTTCCACTTTGCAGGAGATCTGATTGACCATTTCTTATGTGGCCCCCAGTTATATATGTTGTTATATGTTGTTTCGAAACCCCATCTAGCTATAGATGTACCACAAATCATGGTACACCTAGTTTGAAATCAACTTACCCATACTTACCCATGTAGAAATCCATTTACATCCAATATTAACCCCCATCTAAAACCAACTTACTGTAGCTATTTTAGGGGCCCAAGGTTGGTGGGGGCCTGGCCCCCGTCATGTGTTTGTTGGAGATTATATTCCCCGGTTGGCCCATAGTTGGATGATGTTTGATTGAGACATTTACCAAGCCCGGTTGAGTGTTTCATGATGTTTCATGTCTTTTGGGGGGTCACTACTATATGTTATTGTCATTCAGCAACCGCTCATTTGTTGATGGGTTGAACATCATATAACATGATCCACCCAGATAGTTCCATTAGACTCCTCTTAAATCACCATTATTGCGAGTTCTATCATCTGAAATCAACATGTCTCATAGTAATTTCATAGTAAATCCCAGTGTTTCATAGTAAACTAGTAAATCTCACTAAAACTCCCTGGTATCTTTGGGATTTTTTGGGATCTCCCGATATCCCCCAGATCAGTTCCGGCCCCGTGGTGTTTTTTGCCAGGACGAATCGGACCTGGCCAGCCAGTCTCCTGGTGGGAGATTTCACCATTTCAAGAGGCTTTCACCACGAAAAACGGACCGTTACTATAAATCATCGGTTGGTGGTGACTGGAACATTTCATGGAAACCAAAGGAAAACCATAGGAAAACCATAGGAAAACCATAGGAAAACCATAGGAAAACCATAGGAAAACCAAAGGAAAACCATAGGACAACCATAGGAAAACCATAGGAAAACCATAGGAAAACCATGGGATCTCGTTGGTAGTTTGGAACATGACTTCTATTTTTCCATATATTGGGAATAGTAATCCCAACTGACTAATATTTTTCAAGATGGTTAAAACCACCAACCAGATCAAATTGTGCTTTCTATTGGATTTATGATAGGTAAGTTGGTTAAACAAGTACCAAGTTCTGGTTAACAACCAGTTGGTATACAATGTTGTTAATCCACCCTAGAAGGTAAGAGTCCCCCCCAATTAAAAAACTAGGGTTTGTAATACATACAAAACAACCAACCTGCCTGCCAATGGATCGAAATTTCTCTTTTCAGTGGCAACCTCCCTCCCAATGGGGAGAGATGGTGAGATTGGGCATGGGACATCCCTTCAAAACATTACTTTTTCAACCAGGAAAACAATAAACCATTAAACAAATAAGTATATCATATCCTGACTACCACAAAATTAGGATTTCTGAGCAGGGTGTTGTTTATTAGGGGGGTCGCACATGTTTCTTAATAGGGAGGGACACCAACCCAAAGATTTTTTGAATGTCGGTGTTGATTAATTCGGGATGATTATAATATTATAATATATAATATTGACTATATATATATATATATATATATATGTGTATAGCTACAGTCATAGGACTGATGGGTTTAACCGTTTAACCCATCAAAATAGGATGTTTACGCACCAAAAAATGGCACAACATTGGTATATTACCAAACAAAAAACAAGGTACATATAAATTGGTAGAGACACCTACGACATCTGGCATTCGTGGTGGATATATTTGGGGTTTTTACTATGGTGAAACATTCACCAACAGCACGTAACTTGATTGATCTCAAAATGATTGGATCAGCAAGAATTGGGGAGGCAGAATGAACCAAACGAATTTGGGGTTTTACCCTCCTGTAATCAGATTTGGCACTGGACAATCCCGAAAATGTAGAGATGAGATTGTCCAGCTATAAAGGTTCATTTTTTGGGATGGTCCAGCTAGCCATGTGACTGATCACCAGAGGGTATATCATCTGTAATATCCTATGATATTCCATGAAATATCCCTATTATATCCCTATTATATCCTATCATATCTGGTTGGTGGTTTGGAACATGGCTTTTATTTTTCCATATATTGGGCATTGGGATTTTCATCATCCCAACTGACTCATATTTTCCAGAGGGGTAGGTATACCACCAACCAGATCCTATCATATGGGTGAAACAGATTACCCTCTGGCTATTTAACATTTTGCCATGGTATAGATGGCCCATCGAAATAGATTCAGATGGTTTACCTATTACCCTCTGGTAAATTAACATAGACCCTGAAAATCACCAATGTTTAGAGGAATCTAACCTTCCAACCCCTATCTACCAGGGTCTATGTTAATTTACTGGAGGGTAAAATGGTGGATCTTTCCATGGCAAAGTGTTAGTCATAACCAGATGGGATCCCCACCAAGATGGTTCAAGGCCGATTCGGCCATTGCTGTTGTCACCTGATTTGACCAATCGGGGATTGAAGGTGACGACTAACCAACAATCACCGGGGATTGATCAACCGGAATTAAGGAGTTCATCATTAAAATTGGGCATGTCGGAACAAAAAACTGATTGGTGGTTTCAAACAAGTTTTTTTTCCATAAAATATGGGATGTCATCCTTCCCATTGACGAACTCCATCATATTTCAAGATGGGCACATTGCACCACCAACCAGAAAACATGGACAGTCATGGACAGTTGGACATATCTAGCCAATCTAGACAAGGCGTTTACGGCCTTCCGTTTGGATTTGAGTTAGACACCCTGAAATTACAGGATCAAGCAAGGGCATCCAAGGGATCCACTCAGCATATTCAGCATGCAGCGATGATGGGGGATGGGACTTTGCAAAGGGACCCAATTCTTCCATGACCCTAGATAATACCATCTGGTTATTTAATAGTTTGCCATGGAAAGATCCATCATTTTTAATAGGTAAACCATCTATTTCGATGGGCGATCTATACCATGGCTATGTTAAATTACCAGAGGGTATATGCCGTATCTCAGGCAGTCTTAGGCCGTACATGAAGGCACGAGTTTTCAATGTTAATTTCGTGTTTTCGATAAAAGCAAATTGCCAACCTGATTTTATCCATGAAAGACTCATTGAATTCATATAAACGAACACGAATACATACTCCAACAATAAGAAACAGCAAATTGCCAACATATCTGATCAACACAATATAGCAGTAGCTGATTGTTGGAGTTTTGACCCGCTCCAGGTATGTGCAGCCTGAGTGCGATCCAGCGCTTGTAGCTGAATAGACAGCTCAGACAAAAACGCGGTTCAAAAGTTGTGGTTTATATGGCACTTAAAACTCCAGTAACTAGGGTTTTTTCCAGATTTATATGCCACTTAACTATGGTTTATATTAATGGGTTTTTCTGGATGTTTATGGTACTTTTCAAACTTAGAAAACCATCGTTTTTTGGGGTGAATCGTGGCGAATCTAAAGATGAGATGGTTCTCCTCTTACTGAAGTCGTGAATATTTTTTGATGATCCTGACATCCAGACTTCCAATTCTCATCATCTGGTGTGCAGCTGAGGTTACTGGGCACAAGCCTGGTGAATTAAACCCTCATAAGTTGGGATATGGGGCCCCTACAACTATAGTCGGTGTATATATATATATATATATATATGTGTATGTGTGTGTATATATATATATATATCCACTTAGTTCACTAAAACTGCACTTCCAAGTACAGTTGATGGATGATTTCCCATATCTTTGATTCTTTTTGAAGACGGTAATAGCTCATTACACATCGACTTCCTGGTGATGGCAACCGTGGCTTCGGAAGCCATTTTTATGGGGGAAACCAATGGCTGGGGGGGCCCCAGTTTTGAGAAACATGTTTCTTTTCCCTGTGCTGCAGCATTCTGATAAGTTGGTTAAGGCTCAGTGTTTGTGTTTGGAGGTTGAAACCCCGCCATTTTTGTTGGTTCAACCCCTGCACAAAAGTCAAGCTTAGACGAAACCTTTTAATCCTTTGATCTTTTGCTCTATATACATGTCCCCGAAAAAACATGCTGTAGAAAGTAAAATCTTGCTGAAATAGTGATTTAAGTTACAGGTTCTATCTCTTGGGTGGTTAGTATATATCAGTAAATATAATGTCAACCCCGGAATGGTAAACTCTGGTCGATGAAATTTAGCGGGGTTCCTCCAGATAGTGTTTGCCAATTAAGCAGCCCATGGGTCTATTAATCCGGGGTTGAATTATATATTAACCAGCTAAAAGAAATGAAGGGGATCTAAGATTGGTCATGTTTCATGACAGGAATACTCCTTCCTACAACTCGACAACGGCCTCAAAGCCATCATCGGTTCGGATCCAAAGTGTGACAAGGCGTGGCTCACCCCCACCCGCCCCACCCGCCACTGTGGTGGAATTTCTGGGCTGTTCCCCTGGCGAGGCCGGTGCGGGGCTTTGCGTCAATGTGGGCATGTGCCACGAGAGGCGCGTGGATTGTCATGTCTGCCATGCCATGCCATGAATATGCCATGAATTTGAGGTTATGGATAGGATGATTGTAAGTGGATCGTTCCACTCATAGTGTTATAATGATATACCATAATTAGATATAATTAGTGTTATGCTTGGATCATTCCACGAATCACAATTTTCCATCGTAAGTGGATGTATACATGGTTAATAAGCCAGGTTAGTAAGTGCCCTATTTCCTGGTTATCCCATGTATTTTTCTGAGGTGATCCTCGAAGTTTCATAGCACTTTGCAAAATTGGGACGAGAGGTTTCAAGGGGTCTATATATAAAGATATATAAAGTCTATATTTCTGGGTGGATCATAATTTATATAGGTATTTATAGTCATTAATAGGCAACTAGCATCAACTAGCTCGAATCATTGAGTTATGAAATCTTATTTTCACCACTGGAGGAAAGATCTGCCGGGCTTGGCACATTTCTTGGAGCACATGCTCTTCACGGGCACGGCCAAGTATCCGAAGGAAGGCGTGGTTCGACCCGGGGATGCCACAGTTGGATGAACGAAGCTTGTGCGGATGCCAGGTGAGTACCATGAGTTTATGCAGCAAAACGGTGGAGAGTCCAACGCCTATACTGCCTGCTACTTCACCTGTTACATGCATGGTGCCCCAGGACAACAGGACTCCATGAACGGCAGACCCAACTCTGATGGCTTTTTTTGATGGTCAAATGGTGACGTTGTTCAGTGATTTGGGGTCAAAACCCTGGTACCGTGCCGTGAACCCCAAGTCATAGCTGGGATTTATGGATGTTCATCCCACTATAGTAATGTATCTATAGGTATTGACCCATACCCATTTTGAAAAGGGGACAGTGAAAAATCACCAATTCTGCCCAGGTTTGAGGTGAAACCTGAAGTAATGGGAGAGGCGGAACGGGCCCGGAGGTGAAGAATTCATGAGCTGGTTGTCCTTGTTGGTTTTCAACCCCAGCTATGTGGGAACCTGCAGAACCCTAAAAAGATGGAAATTTACCACTTAGGGGCCTAGGGGGGACCATTTATTGATGAACTATATATATTTGTTGTTTATTTTGTTTTAGTTCTTTTTGATTGCTCCTTCTCTGCTTTTCTGCTTCCTTGTTTTTTTCCTTTTCTGCTTCTTTGCTTCTCTGCTCTTTTGCTTCTCTGATTGTTTGCTTTCAAATTTCAAGCAATTTTGTTTTCCCCCTTATTCGCATTTCTGTGTTGCTTGCGTCTCTGGTTTTTGGCCTTTTCTGCTTCTTAGGCCGTCTCATTTTTTGGCCGTCTGCTTTTTGTAGCTTTTCTGCTCGTTTGCTTCTCTGTTTTTTCTGCTCTCTGCTTTTTGGCTTCTTCGCTTCTCTGTTTCTTTCTTTTGTTCTTGCTTGCTCTTCTGTGCTTCCTTGAAAGTACAACTACATCTGAATGCAAGAAGAACACAAGAACGACAAGAATAAGAAGAAGCAGGAAAAATCAGGAAAACATTCAAGACCAACAAGAATAACCACACCTGCAAAGAAGAACCAAAACTAGATAAAACTAGAACAATGTTGTCTCTGCGTTCCTTCCCATCTCCAGCTGTTTCCATTTTGTTGCTTTGTATTCTCACTTTGATCTTTTTGGTGTCATTGCTCTGGTGTAAGTGTAAAGACCATGAGGCCCAGAAAAGGCCTTTTTTTATTTAAATGAACTGGTTAAGAAGACAAGGTTTCACATTGCTTCAAATATCTACAATTATTACAATGGAAGGTCGAAACTCCACAATTGAACAATTGGAGGGTTGAAGTCTCACAATGTCGGAGATCCAATGCAGTAAACCTACATTTCCTGTTTATGATTAACCAACTTACTGCACTGAGTTATGAATAGTAAATATTGGTTCAACTATATATATACTATTGGTATCAACCATGATATAATCATATGTTTTAACTGACAATACTGAACTTATTATACATAATATTGGTAATCTAGCAAATATTACCAATAGTATAGGGATGGTTTACTATACTAGTAAAATGGTATAATCACTATACCATTGGGATGGTTTACTATACATAGTAAATTATAATTGCTATACCAATAGTTACCAGATCATATAAACCAATACTAAATCACACTATTATACATAGTAAATCATATAGTATTATCCCAATAGTTAAACGGGGTAAATCCCACATTATGTTATATTACTATTGGGTAAATCCTCACATTATACCAATAACTATAGTAAATCCCCAGGTTTTATCCCTATAACTATGGTAATCCCACATGTTATACCAAAAGTCATGGTGGATTTACCCTCTGGTAAACCTAGCCACATATATAACTATGGAAAGATCCACCATGCATTTTTAATGGCTAAATCCACTATTTTTATGATGATTTTCCATAGCTTTTTGTATGTTTACCAGAGGGTAAGTTCCATTAATCCCATTAACATCCCATAAAATCCCATTAAAATCCCATTAAAATCCCATTAAATCACCATTTTCAATGGGTAAATCCACTATAAATCACCATAAATTCCAGGCCGGGTACCACATCGGCCTGCAGTTTTTATGGAGGCCCTGGATCGCTTCGCCCGCTTCTTCACCGAGCCAAGCCTCACTCGGGACTGCACCGAGCGCGAGATCAACGCAGTGCCTCGGGGGCGGCCAGGGAGTTCCGGTTGGGCGGAAGTGATTGGAAAACGGGAATCCGACACGGAAGTTATGTCAGTTACCCGGCCTGGTAAACGTAGCCACATAACGAACTGGAAAGATCCACCATGAATCTTTAAATGGGAAAATCCACTATAAATCAATGGCAATTTTCAACAGCAATGTTAAATTACCGAAGGGTATGTGAGTTGAAAAGCTTGTTGAATTTGACATCTGACTATACTTCAGTATAGATGTCTGAACACTTTTGTCTGAAGTGCTTCATGAATTCTTTTGGAAGTTGCTGGTTGATTTTCGCTGGTTACATTGACATACTTATCTGCTTGGTGGTTTGGAACATTTTTTATTGTCCATAATATGGGATGTCATCCTTCCCAACTGACGTTCATATTTTTCAGAGGGGTAAGTATACCACCAACCAGTTATACTTAAGATGATTTTTGGATTTCATCCACGGCGTCACGGCTTGGGCGAGTAAGCGAGTAGTGCCCGTTCCCCCTATCCAGCGGCAGGTCCCGTTGTTCTCTTGGGATTCAATGGGCATTCTCTTGAACTTCAAGGACCAAAAGAAAGACCTGTTCACCAGGATATGTACGTATTACATCGTATTACAGTATGATTACATGTTGGCGTTGCTAAAATCCAACAGCATCTGATGGTTTTTTCCAGGATATTAGAATCACGACCTACCCTCGGGTAACATGGCGAAATCATCCAACTGGGGGATGTCCATGGCAACAGTTTCATGGCCGGTGTATTTTTAGCATTCAGTCCCCAAAACACCAGAGGTATGAACAGAGGTATTAACCATTTTTAACTGTTAAACAATGGCTAATACCTCTAGTTTTTTTTTAGCCATGCAGTTGTTGAAGAGTTACCAGAAGTATGAAAACCATTGGTCAACCCAGTTATCCCCAGATACTGTATGTTTGTTTCTTCTCTTCAGTGCGCACCATGTTGCCTCACTGTCCATGCTGTCCATGGCTTTGTTGATACAGGCTATCACTGAAATAAATGGCTAAAAAATGGCCATGATTGTTAATATGATGCTACTTGGTGGCTCATCCCACGAATCGTAAGTGGGTTATAACCCAAGTTATAAGTGGGTTATAACCCCAGTTATAAGTGGATTAACCCTACTTATCCCATTTATAACTGGGGTTATAACCCACTTACGATTCGTGGGATGAGCCACCAAGTACAAATATGATCAATTATGTAGAATTGTAGGGAATTGTAGTTATTGGGAATTATAGTGATTTATACATAGGGATTATGCCACTATTAAATAGGGGTTTTGTTCGATGATTGTCGCTGGGATCATATCCCGAATTATGGGGCACCATCTCCACTAGGTCAACCACCCCCACAACTTATATGTTGGTTTATAAACCCAATGAATTAGCCCTAATGTGGGTAAAACAATCATAAACCATCCCCCAGTCATCACCATAGGTGGTATGGCAGGTATGGTTACCATTCCGAAATGGGTGGTTTTCTTTTGGGTTTGTTCTTGTTTTACCCACTAATTATGATATATTTCTTTTGTTACCAACTGAGCAATTCCGAACTGGGGCACCACCGAACTCAGGTGGATTCGGAGTATCAAGCAGGACTCACATCCCCCTGGTGGCGCTACGTCCGCCAGCAAGAGGATGGTACAACGTGGTGTACGAGTCGTGGTGTACAACGTGTTATATCATGTTAATGATATGATGTTATATATATATATATATAGTAATGTTAATGATTAAATTATAGTAATGTTAATATTAATGATTAATGATTAATGATTAATGTGATGTATATATTTATAGTAATGTTGTACAGCCTCAAAAGACAATAAATCCCACTATAAAATAGTGGGATTTCAGAAACTTTTATCTTTTTAGGGCTTACTATAGTCCACGAGGGGAATCCCGAGGGACTAGCCAATCTAGCATGGCACATGGGATTGCACAATTGAATCTCTGTCTTTGAGGAAGTAGATCATGCTAAAACTCATGATGAGTGAAGGGACATTTTGAGACTTGGAAGCCAGGATTGTACACCCATCTAGCGGTTATACCCATGTACAAATACTGCCTGCATTCTTTGCAAAGGAGCATGCCTTCTCAGTGATTTGCTCAGAGATACCTGGTACAAAGTAGGGCCCCCTAGATAGCTAAGTTTGTTTATAACTCCACTAAGTGTGGTTTATGATACTTACAACTGCGCTTCGGGGGGTTATAACGGTTATAACCCAACAAGCATCACTCAGGGGGCCCCTAGCTATGAACACAGTCCGTTTTTCGGTTGCGTTTCGACCTTCATCGAGGTGGGAATCCTCAACATGAGCGCCAATCCGGATCACCCTTTCCATGTGGCCGTTGGCAACAATAAGGTGGAGAGCATGATCTGAGTCAGCCTTGTTAGTGGTACGTTCATGGGATTTAGATGGAGTTAGTAGGTTATTTATTGGGATTTGTTGGGAGATGTTAGGAGTTGATGAAATTTCATGGATGTTGATGGGGATTTCATGGCATTTCATGCGACATTTTCTGCCGGGAAGTCCCAAAGGTTCGGGGCCCTGTCCTGGCAGGTCCTGCTGGAAGATCCCAAAGAGAAGGGGATCGACCTCTATGACGAGATGAAGAAGTTCTATGCCTGGATCCTCAGTGATCTTTTCTCGCCCGCCTGGGTCTCCCATTGTTCTGAAATGCTGCTGGTGATTTTTTTTTGTCCATCAGAGTGTTTTCAAAGTGGATTGTTTTGAGGGTCAACCTTCAAAATACCATCTGGTTATTTAACATAGCCATGGAAAATCACCATGCTATTAATGGGAAAACTCACTATTTCTATGGCCATCTATACCATGGCTATGTTAAATAACCAGAGGGTAAATGATGATGCTGAAAAACTTCAAAGATTCTTCAAAGAAATGGCTGACGGTCAAATCTTCTCATTTCTGGAAATGAACATCGCCATGGTTTTTTTTTGGGGCATACCATGGTATACCCCATTTTCCAGACACATCTACCCGGCCTGGTAAACGTTTACATAACCATGGAAAATCACCATCTTTAAATGGGTAAATCAACTATTTCTATGGCAATTTTCAATAGCTATGTAACAAATTACCGGAGGGTATGTTTGAGTGAGGTAGATTCTCTCGTCGGACAATCTTTTGCGCCATGAAATTCACAGGAATCCACCTACTCTGCCAATGGCATGACGCCGTGCCCTCAGTCTGAGGGAATGGGTTGGTTGAAGCAGCAATGATGGGAAATCTCACCTTAATCAGTCTGTACCATAAAAGATCTCCGAACTTTGAGAGTTTACCGTTCACCGAACGATAGTTGGATTTTCAGCAACCCTGAGTTTTGATGTTTGATGTTTGTAAGCCTGTATACCCAATGTGGTAAACCCAATAAAGTACCTCCAATTTTTGAAGGGTTATACCACCCATGTGGGTCCAATGGATATGATATGAAAATGAGTAGAACATAGCAAGAAACAAAGTCAATGATGATTGTGTAATGCAGCCTTGGAAAACAACAAGCATTGTTGCCACTGGTCAGGTCAAGACCGATGATTGTGCCACGGTCAGACTATTTTTCTATGCCATGGACATTGATACATATGTATACATAATGGATTGTAGTTATAAATGTTAATATTATACATTGTGCATACAAGCTTGGATACCAGCATTTATGAATCATGTCATGTGATGTCATGTCTTATCATGTTGTGTCCTATTCTATCACATCATATTGTATCGTATCTGGGCTCTTGTATCCTGTATCGTGCATCACATATAACATAGCTTGATGGACAACACATGTGTCGTATCATTTTTTATAATTTCACAACATATCCTAAATATCCAAACCCATGCGTTGAGGGAGATGTTCATTGTTCGAGGTGTAATATTGTTCTAATCAAATTGAAGTACGGACCCAAGTGCAAGCACCAACATTCTGGGTGGGCAAATCCACAACAAAATGGCTCTGATTTTTTTCTGATAGATTCCTACAATATATATATATATACAGTATATATATATTTATACATACACATGTGAAATTTGATCAGATCATTGATTGTTTGCCCATTCTCTCACTATTTACTGGCCACCCCCATGTTGGATGGCTGTGCCTGCAGGTTTTGGGGATGGATACCCTCCGTTTTCAAACACCGGCGTGTTGGAAAAGTCTCCATTTACGGATGATCTTTTCATTGAAACCTCCATTCATAGTGGATTGCCCAGCTAAGGCTATGATTTCGGTACCATATACCCGGCCTGGTAAACATACAAAAAGCGAACTGGAAAATCACCATATTTCATAGCTAAATCATCTATAATCATCTATTTCTATGGGCCATGGCTTCCATAGCTATGTTAAATTTCCAGAGGGTATAAATCTATAAATCGTCAGAAGTTCTGGAGATGGATTCTCCACCAGCCCGTCCCGAACAGGCTCTGTGTTTTCGGGAGGGAGCCCACTGCACAGATGGAAGAAATCTTGCGAGAGAAGCGAGGGATGTCCAGATATGGTGAGAGCAAGGAGCTGGTGTATGTGGGCATCTCTGATCCAGATATCATTAAAAAATTGGCTGAACTTTGTTGCTTCTAGCTACAGATAGAGGATTTCTGTAATTCTTCATTGCCAAAGGGAAGTTCTAGTGGTTTCAAACACTGGTGATTCATGGTCACGATGTGGGGTAGAACCATGTAGACCTGTCAAACAGCCTGGTTGCTGGGTCAAAATACAATCTACATCAAGTCACTACCTGGAAGTTTGACCACTTGAAGCATATTCTTAGTATGGGATCGGTGTATTCCAACATTTTTTCAAGGACCGTCATTTCAATAGTGTCTATTGGGACAATACAACCTGCTTTTTGTTACATATTTGAAGAATAAAGGAGGGCTATTTCACAGGTCGCTGAGAATATGTAAAGTATATATAAATAAATAAATCCATTTCATGTATATAAAATAATATATATATATATATATAATTATATACATATACACATACATGCAGGACGTTTCTTGTTTGACTCTGACTATGTTGAATGCTTCATCCAGTTTTTTTCGCCGCTGCCGTGAAGCAAAGTGCAAAGAATTCTGGTGCTATGATGAGGTTTCAATTAATTTCAAGATGTCTAAACGCCCTTTGAAGGTCAAACTCTCACCTCATTTTAAGTCAACAGATGTTTGGATCAAGATGGCACATGGGGCAGCAGTTGGAAGCTCGAAGGATGGCAAGTGGCTAATTCATCTTGGCTTTCCATCCTTCTAGAGATATCAAGAAAGTCTCAGTTTTCATAGTTCATCATATTTCTTTTTACCTAGGTGCTTGAACTCGCACATTGAAATGCTTCAACTATATGTTCAACTGAATTGCCGCAGTTGCACCGCAAAATCTCATCACTTTCCCCTTTTCTCAACTTTTCGTCCACACAAAAGGCGCCATGGCGCTGCCGAAGACCGCCTCAGTGCCCATCTGGCAGCCCTTTGCAAAAGGCAAATGGCCAGCCGGACTGCCACGAAGCGCCTCTGTGCTGATGGGGGCTGGTTTAGAGACACCAAATAGAGATGATGAGTTGGTAATGAATACCCTCTGGTAATTTAACATAGCTATGGAAAATCACCATTTTTAATGGGAAAATCCACTATATATGGTCATTTTCAATAGCTATGTTAAATTACCAGAGGGTACACCTTGTTAAATGAAATCGATTTAAACGTGATTGATAGCGGTTGTTAATATGAATTATATATTGGTATTTTTTCACAAAGCCTGGAGAATTTAACGATATGTTCTCCAATAAATGCACTTCAGCATACTTCAGCTGGCATGCCTCCAGTTGCAGTCAGTCATTTCCCCTGATTTTTCAAAGTTGAATTGGCCATTTTGAGATACATCATATTTTTGGACAAACTCATCATGCAATGATCAATTTTCTAAATCCTATTGAAGCACCAGAAAGACAGGTTTTGGAGCACTGCTCCATGGAAATTGAACAGGATGGAACAGGATACAACACATGGAACAGTTCTCTTATTGATGCGTATCTACAAACATATGTGTATTGTAGATGTAGCCACAAAGCGTGCTGATATGCGCAAAACGATGTCCTGCCATGGATTTCCATCAACCAGTGGCGGGTTGATTCTTGCACTTCTGGACATGACTGGTGCATCCCCCTTTCTTTCCCCATTTGGATACCCTCTGGTAAACTAACATAACTATGGAAAATCACCATTTGTAATGGGTAAATCCACTATAAATAGCTATTTTCAATGGCTATGTTAAATTACCAGAGGGTATTACATATCCTAGGGTAAAGTAACACAAACATGTGGAAAACCCATGGTTTCCCATCATCGATTCCAAGATTCCTTGAAGGCGGACCACCATGGGTGTGGCTTAAGATCATTGGGATTCAATCAACCGCCCAAAGGTCAACCTTTGCTGAACAGTACAGAAATCTCCCAAACATATGGAGAAAAATAAAGCCTGATCCTAAATAAGAATGGCACGTTTTAAAATGTTTTAAACATCTCCATCTTTTTTCTGAGTCACTATAGATGGTTAAGAACTGAGCAGTGTCAAAAAAAACATAATAAACCCATTGGTTTATTAATATTGAAGTTCTACGAGCCTATTGAAAGGGGGTTATTTCAATCCATTGGAATAGCAAACAAACCATGGAGGCAACCAACTGAAAGTGGTACCAAAAAACTCATAGAAACCAGGGGTTGATTGACGATGATCAATTTCAAAGTAAACCACCATTTTTTTGGTACTACTATAATGTATTATAATGTTCATAAGATGTTCCTAGGTTTTCTTGTAGATTTCCCTTAAGCCAATCCTTTGATCAATTGAGAACGAGCCCCATCCATGACCCAACTGACGGACGTTACAGGCACCTCATTATCGCGTAGCGTCCTGGCTGATGTCTGTGCAGCTTTGGTCGTAGGCCCGGTGACGGGTGGGACTCTGTTAGTGGGAACAATAGGGATTTTGCCCGCAAAAATGGAGATTGAACCAGGAAAATGTGGGTACAGCTAGCTATCACTACTACATATCATATACATATACCAGTAGTACCGCACAAGGCGGTGGCGGAAGTTTCAGAATAGGAA